GCCCCAGAAGGAAATTCCATCCCTGTTAACAGTCACTCCCGCTTACCCCCTCCCCTTAGATCCTGGTAACCAGTAGTCTACTTTGTCTCTACCAATTTGCCTAATTCTGCATATTTCCTATAAACGGAGTCATTTGTGACCATTTGTATCTGGATTCTTTTACTTACCACGTTTTCGAGGTTCATCCGTACTGTAACACATATCAGTCCTTGTCGGACTGAGTTACGTCCCCCCTCAACAATTCATATGTTAAAGTGCTGGTTCCCAGTACCTCAGAATGTGACCACATGTAGAAATAAGATCCCTGGGGCACCTGGGTGGCTCAGTGGGTTAAAGCCTCTGCCTTCAGCTCAGGACATGATCCCAGGACCTGGGATTGAGCCCCGCATCGGGCTCTCTGCTTGGCGGGGAGCCTGCTTCCTCCTCTTTCTGCCTGCCTCTCTGCCTACTTGTGATCTTTGTCAAATAAATAAATAAAATCTTTTAAAAAAAAAAAAAGGAAAGGAAAGGAAATCCTGGGGCGCCTGGGTGGCTCAGTGGTGAAGCCTCTGCCTTCGGCTCAGGTCATGATCTCAGAGTCCTTGGATCGATCCCCGCATCGGGCTCTCTGCTCGGCAGGGAGCCTGCTTCTCCCCCTTCTCTGCCTGTCTCTCTGCCTCCTTGTGATCTCTGTCAAATAAATAAATAAAATCTTTAAAAAAAAAAAAGAAAAGGAAATCTGGACACAGACTCACACGGAAGGAGAACCACATGAAGACACAGGGAGATGATGGTCATCCACAAGCTAAGGAGAGAGGCTTTATATGTTCAGAATAAAAACGAGCTAGGATGACCCCTCGATCTCAGATTCCTAGGATCCAGAACCTGCGAGAAAATAAATTTCTGTTGAGGAAGATCCCTAGTCTGTGGTCCTCTGGGATGGCAGCCTGAGCAAATTAATATGTACTTCATTCCTTTTTACGGCTGAATGATATTCCATAGTAGGGATCTTTTCTTTTGGGAATAACAAGATGAAAAAGAACATAAATGTCCAAGACTAGAGAGCTGGTTAATGAAACTACTAAATATCCAAAGGATGGAATACTATGCAGATGTTAAAAAAGAATAAAGGTCCTTTTGGGGCGCCTGGGTGGTTCAGTTGGTTAAGCGTCTGCCTTTGGCTCAGGTTGTGATCTCAGGGTCCTGGGATCAACCCCGCATTGGGCTCCTTGTTCAGCGGGGACTCTGCTTCTCCCTCTGCTTCTGCTCCTTCCCCCTCTGCTTGTGCTCTCTCTCTAAAAGAAGGAAAGGAAGGAAGGAAGGAAAGAGAAAGAATAAAGGTGCTCTATAGATCATAGTTCTCAGAGTTTGGTCCCCAGGCCAGCAGCAACCCCCCCCCACACCCACCTGGAAACCTGTTAGAAATGCAGGTTCTTAACCTCCATCCCAGAATCAGATACTCTCCCATGAGCCTTCCAGGAGACACGGAAGCATTGCTGAGGTACCAGACTCCCTCCTGTATATGACCATACACACTAGGAGTTCACAGCAGCCCCAACGTAGTTTTTAAAAACACCAGTGCCTGGATCCCATCCCCAGAGATTCCACTGTAATTGATCTGGAGCAGGGTCTGGGAAGGAATCACCCAATTAGAACTGACTTTAATGGGCAGAGTCATGTTCCAGATTGTTCCTTGCAGGATTCATTGTGATGGGCAATGGAGAAATAAATTTGGGAGACACGTGTGCAGCAGAATACTCTTCAGAGTAGAAATGAAGCAATATGAAGTGGATAGATGAAAGTTAAAAGGATGTGTGTGTGTGTGTGTGTGTGTGTGTGTGTGTGTATAATACCATGTATATTAAATTTAAAACAACAAAACAATTTTACGTATCCGAATGGATACATATGTAGTAGAACTATGAATACAGGCATGGGAATTAAAACTGATCAATTCAGGAATTAGGAACAAGTATAGCGCCAGTTTCTCTCATATCTGTAATTTTTAATTTTTTAATTGGGCTAATGAGTACAGGGGTGTTTGTTTTATATGTGTGTGTGTGTGTGTGTGTGTGTATTTTTAAAAATATTATTTATTTATTTATTTGGCACAGAGAGAGAGATCACAAGTGGGCAGAGAGGCAGGCAGAGAGAGAGGGAGAAGCAGGCTCCCTGCTGAGCAAAGAGCCAGATGCGGGGCTTGATCCCAGGACCCTGAGATCATGACCTGAGCTGAAGGCAGAGGCTTAACCCACTGAGCCACTCAGGAGCCCTATATTTTTATCTATACTTATTTGAATGCCTGAAATAGTTCACTTATAAAGCAAGGGGGCAGACCAATTGTATAGATTGCTTTCATTTGTACTTTTTTTCTTATGTTTCCTTTTGTATACTTAAAAATTTTTTTTAAAGATTTTATTTATTCATTTGAGACAGATACAGAGAGAGAGAGAGAGCGAGCATGAGCAGGGGTGGGGAGATGAGGCAGAGGGAGAGGGAGAAGCAGGCTCCCCGCTGAGCCAGGAGCCAGATGTGGGGCTCGATCCCAGGACCCTGGGGAGATCATGATCTGAGCCAAAGGCAGAAGTTTAACCGACTGAGCCATCCAGGGGTCCCAAAACAATTTTTTTTTTAAAGTAGTCTCCACACCCAGTGTGTAGCCAGCCCATGGTGGACTGGAACTCAAGACCCTGAGATCAAGACCTGAGCTGAGATCAAGAGTGGGAAGCCTAACCAACTGAGCCACACAGACACCCCAAAGCAATGTTTAAACTCTAAAGTGAAGCCCTTCCCCAAAACAAAAACTTGCTGCTCTTTTCAACATGGAAATTCAAATGCAAATACAAGTAACACATAGCTGTAAATTCTTGTCCTCCTCCCTCAAAAGGTCAGCACACAATAAATATCCAGTTTTTTGTTGTTGTTGTTGTTGTTTTGTTTTTTAAGATTTGTTCATTTGACAGAGAGATAGAGAGCACAAGCAGGCAGAGCACCACGGAGAGGCAGAAGCAGGCTCTCCGCTGAGCAGGGATCCCCCACTTGGGGCTCAATCCCAGGATCCTAGGATCATGACCTGAGCAGAAGGCAGACACTTAAGGACTGAGCCACCCAGGCACAACTAGACATCCAGTTCTGATTTTTTTTTTAAACTTAATTTTTCTTGGTTATATTTCCAGGTAAAAAGGAGTTTCCTTAGCCCTGTACCACTGGGTAGCATTATAGGATTATGCCTGGTGAGTCTGGGGAACAGCGAGGAGGCCCCGTGTGGCTGGAGGGAGTGAGAAAGGGGGAGAGGATAGGAAAGCTGAGGTTGAGATAGTGGTGATAGGAACGGACAGAAAGACATCGGTGGACTGCCGTGAGGACTTGGGCTGTTACCCTGGGTGAAGTGGGAGCCCTGGAAGGTTCTGAGCAGAGGAGAGAAATGCCTGGACACAAGTATTCACCGGCGCCTTCTGGCTGCTGTGGAGGCAACAGACTGGGGAGAGGCGTGGGGGCGGGTGTAGCTGGAGCACCACGGTAGAGGGACAGTATTGGTTCAAGTGGAACATAATGGCTGTGTCCGGGTGGGGGAACGAGAGAGGAGTGAGAAGTAGATGTATTCTAGGTAGACTCTGAAGCGGACGGGACTTGCCGTCATATCAGATGGAGGGGAGGGGGGTGTCAGAGAAAGAGGGGTCAGCAGGGCTCCAAAGTTTGGGTCCTTAGCACCTGGCAGGAGCTGCCATCAGCTGGGTCTGGAGAACAGCGAGAGGGCAGGTTGGGGGACGCCCAAGAGCTCGCATGTAGCGGGGTGAGTGGGAAGCCCCCTTGCACCTCTGGCCAGGTGGGGGCATCCAGAAGGTAGACATCCTGGGCGCGGCCGCCGCGCAGTCCCGAGAGCTGCCGCCAGAGGGCGAACGCGCCCCATCGCCCTCCGCAGCTCCGCGGGGCGCGGGAAGGACCGGCTCTGCCGCTTCTCACGGCCCTGCCGCGGGCAGCTCCTCGCCTGGGTGCGAAATGCGGGCCACGGAGATGCCAGGGCCTGTCTCGGAGTCCCCGACCCCACCCCCAGGCATCCCCGGGCCTCCAAAGCCTGGGACGCGGCTCCCAGCCTCTTTCTGTGTTTCCATCCCTCCAGCCTCCACCCCCCACCAGGCTGTTCCCACCACTTCCAACAGCAGCTCAAGGCTCTGCAAAAATGTCACCTCCTCGGGGAGGCCTTCTCTGACCACCCTGGGGGCAGAAGGCCCCGCCCTAACACCTGTAAGGCACATCCTATTTAAATAACTTCTTTACACTGAAGCCTCTGGAATCTTGTCTGTTTTCTGCGTTGAAATGTCAAATGCACAGTGAGGATCCATTTCTGTCTGGCCCCCCACCCCCCCCACCCCCGGATCTCCAGGGCTCAGAATTATGCCTGGCCTCTAATAGGTGCTAAAGGAAAAGCAGCTCTAGAGATGTTCATCATAGTTTACTCGTAGTGCTACAGTGTATCAGCCTCTGCTCTAAGCTGTTTACCTGAAGGATCCCACCTGCCCAGGTAGGAAGTGTTAATAACACAAGGGTCTCTGTAACAGTAGAGGAAGCTGGGGCCCAGCATGGCTGAGGGGGTCGCACAGCCAGAAAGTTGCAATGCTGAGGCTGCCACCGGGAGGCCTGGCTGCGATGGCTGGTTTTGCCCACTGGAGGGAAGGTGCCCTGGACCGGAGAAGAAGCTCCCTTCCCCCCCAGCCTCCAGGCATTGTGCCCCAGAGCCCCTCTGTTTTGAGTGGTGCCTTTCCCTGTTCCCACAGCCCACCCACCCACAGACCCAGCCCCCACCCAGAACCCTGGCAGGCTGAGGGGGAGGGGTGGGAAACCAGCAGGCCTTGGTTTATTTTCCTCCCCACTGTGGTGTCTCCTGCCAGAGCTGCGAGCTGCCCAGTTTGGGGGCAGGCCATTAAAAGCGGGTCCGAAAGGCCAAGACTCCACTCACCAGACAGCAGGGTTGACTGCCCAGGACCCTGAGCCCAGTCCCAGACTGACTGACAGACGGACGGATGTTCCTCGGCCAGCTGACCACTCTCCTGAGCCTGCTCAGTGGGGCCCGGTTGCACACAGGCTCCAGGAGGCCTGGACTCCTGGGGCCCCCACCTCAGCTCTGGGATGCTACCAATCAGACCCGGGCCCTGGGCCGAGGGACCCTAGGTTCCCAGGGACAGTCCTCTGCCCTCAGCAGCTGGAAGGCCTTCTTGGGCCTGCAGAAAACTGGGCCGCTGGGGAGAGGTGGCCAGCACCATGGGCAGGAGGTGGCCCCAACCGTGTCTCTGCCACTGGACCCGCAGGAAGTGGCCCAGGAGATGTGCAAGGCTGTGCCCTACACTCAGGTGAGGGTGGGTGGGGGGAGGGGAGGGTGGAGTTTCAGCATGGGCAGAGGGCACAGACTGGGGTCCTGCACAGATCTGGGGTCAAGCCTGGCATCCATCTGCATGTCTCCTATCCTCAGTTTCTTCCTACCGAACCATGAGGTTTACCTCCATCCTGGTCTCCCACCCAAGTCTATTTTCCCACTTAACAGCCAGAGGGCACCTGCGAATACCTGAGTCACATTCCCTTCTTCCTCCACTCAGAACCCTCCATGGCTCCCACTTCATCCAGAGCAAAAGCCATGTCCTTCCCAAGGTCCAAAGGGCCCTGCACTCTCTGCCTGTCACTTCCTCGCCCTTGCCTCCTCTCTCTCCCCCTCACCCACTTCACTCCTGCCATACCAGCCACCTGGTTTTTTATCTGGACACACCCAATGTCACATCTACGTCAGGGCCTTTGCACCGGCTGTTCCCTTTTGCCTCTATCATTCCCTCCCAACTCCCCGAGCATTCTGTGGCTCCTTCTCTCACCTCCTTCAGGTTTTTACTCAGACATCATTTAAAAATGCAGCACCTGCCACCCTGTTGCCCGTTTCCTGCTTTATTTCTCTCTGTGGAACACATCACCTAACATATAAAACTGATTTTGAAATTGCATCTATCGTGTCTCCCTCACTAGGATGTCTGCTCCAATAGGGCAGGGATTATATTATGCCTTATTTGCTTCTGTAGCCCCATCTCCAGGCCTGGGAGCAAAGCCAGGCACACGATAAGCCCTCAGTGTTTTTTGAATGAATAAATGAATGAATGAATGATAGTATCTGCCCCCTAAGGGCTACAGGGCAGTTGAACGAGACAGGTATGGGTATAGGCACCCAGTTACTGCTCCGTAAGTGTTGTGAGAACTCAGACCATGTGTTTAGAACACCAGCTCTGGTGCCCGGTGTACCTGGCTTCAAGTTATGCCTTAACTAATGATTTCTGTGTGACCCGGGAGAAGTGGCTTCCCTTCTCTGAGCCTCATTTCCTATCTTTGCAACAACAGACTTAACAATAGACATGAATTTCTATGACATGGCAAGGTGTTTGGAGCCATGCCCTGCGAGGCATCCGTTCCCAGCACCCCCTGGCTTGTTATTCATTCAGCAAATTTTCGCTGAATCCAGGTGACATGAGGGTGACTGCGTGGCCTTGGACCAGCTACCTTGCCCTGAATCCTGCCCCAGTTGCCCCAGACAGCCAGGCACACTGCACCCAGCGGAGGGAACCCCTGGCTTGGGATCCAGCTGTGTACCCTCTCCCAGAGCTGTAACTGCCCTATGATGACGCAAAGAATTTCTAAGGGTTCGCAGTCCCTTCATTAAGGGGAGGGACTGCTCGGAGCCTCTGGTCTCCTCATATGTAAATGAGGATCCTAAGGTTCTGGCCTGGAGCATTGTGGGAGGAGTGAGTTCACCGAAGGTGAGCAGTGTGGGCCCTGGCCGGCCGTTAGGGCTCAGCAATGTCAGCTTTCCGCACGATGGGCCAGCTGAGCCGCCCGCCATAAACAAAGCAGAGAAGGTCCCTGTCTCCAGGTTTCTTATGTTCTAGGAGAGGAACATCCAAAGAGACAGAACTATAAATTACTAGCAGCCCGTGAAGAAAGAGACTGGCCGCAGGGATAGAGACCATCAGGGGGAGACACTTCCTGTGGGGGTGCTTCTGAGGAAGGAGCAGACGGGATGATCTCAGGGGAGGACGGAGGGAGGAGCTCAGGTGCAGGACTCGGCAGGGGCAGGCAGGGGCAACGGGCCAGCGGTGGGCTTGTGTTTGGGGTACCAGAGGAGCAGTGAGGAGGCTGGGGCGGCTAGGGCAGAGTGAGGGGAGGGGGGTTGAGGAGGGTGGGGGTCGCAGGGCGGCAGGAATGCAGGGTTTAAACAGAGAAGGGCCATGATCTGGGGACGAGTTGATAAAGCCACGAAGTTGGAGGGGACCCCAGGAGGAACTTTTATTGAAGGCCAACTGTGTGCCCAGCAAGGGGCTAAAGGCTTCCTGTTTAATCCCCCTAGGCTCCTATAACACCACCCCTTCCTGCCATCCCTCCTTCCCGGAGGCGCAGCAGACTCCTCCCGATGCCAATCCCCAAGTGACCTCCTCATCGTCCCCTTCTCGGAAGAATCAGCCCTTCCCTCTAGTGCTCCTCTCTGTTGAAAGGGCTAGACTGATTTCTTTCTTGCCTGGCTGAACTTCCACCATTTCACAGGTGAGGAAACAGGACCAGAGAGGTTAAGGAGCTTGCTCCGAGTCACACAGCCAGGAGGTAGCATTCAGGACCAGAACCCAGGCCTCTAGAGGTGGGGTGGAAATGGATGGGAGATGATTCTCCCCATTCGGGCCCCAGACTCTACTGCCCTTGACCCATTTCCCGGCCCCAGGTGCTCTCCCAGCCCGGCTGCTCGTCAGTTCACCTCCGCAATCACCTCTGCTTTGGCCGCTGCTCCTCCCTCTACATCCCCAGCTCGCAGCCCACCCCGCTCATCCTCTGCAACAGCTGTGTGCCCGCTCGCAAGCGCCGGACCCCTGTCCTCCTGTGGTGTCGGGCGAGTCGCCCAGACTCCCGTCGACGGATGAAGACATCTACTGTGCTGGTTGAAGGCTGTCAGTGCAGCCCGAAGGCGTGATCTGCGCTTGATGGACAGACACACAGACGCAAACTCCTTGGAGAGATGGGGGAGGGAGGGATGTGCCCAGAAGACGCTGACCTGGATCATGAGCACTGGGTCAAGAGACTGGGGACACAGGGACAGCCAGACAGGGCTCCAGGGACACCAGGTGTATCCCCACTGGGGAGGTGGGGGTGTGGACCACTCACAGTCATAGCACACACTTTTGGAGCACTCCGTTTGCCCTGTCCCGCACTAAGTGTTTGACACCCACTACCTCATGTCATCCTCGGAGCAGCCCAATGAGATGCGGGTTGGTGTCATCCCATTTCACAGAGAAGGAAACTGAGGCTCTAGGAGGCAAAGTCACTTGCTCAGCTCACACAGCAATAAGTGACAGATCCGGCATTCGAATCCTAGGCCATGTGGCAACGAATTTTAACCACCAGGCTAGACCCCATCTCATAGAATGGAAGACACACTCCCAGCTACAGGGAGGACGGATGGTCCTGCACAGAGCAAGTGACACAGGGATGTCCCATTCTTGGGACCTCAAGAAACCAAGGCAGGGAGGCCCACGGAGCTGTGGGGAGAAATGTGGGCTCCCCAAGTCAGGGGCAGGACCATGTGATCCCAGCTGCCCCTCTAGCCCCAGCCCCTTAAGTCTCCATACAGCCCCATGCATAGTGTGGAATTAAACAGGAACCGCAATGGTTGGCCAAGCCCAGTTGTGCGTGTGCGTGTCTGTGTCCGTGCATGTGTGTGTGTTCCTCCAACCAGGGTTCCCTGGGACCAGTGGCCCTTTGCTGGGGTGTGGGCTTCAGGGGTGCTCCCTCCATAGCCTGGTACAGGGTCTGCGGCACAGGAGGGCAGCCTGGCTCTGGGCGGCTGGAACCAGGGCCCTAGCAGATGGGCCCGTCTGGCACAGACGCAGGGACATGTGGCGCTGTCAAGGTTGCCTCCAAATGCCCCCCGGAGTGTGGGGTGGGTTGGGGGGGTGGCCAGGCCCCTCTCAGCCCTCTTCCTGCCTCAGGAAGGAAGGCCCCAGGTGAGGGGAGCAGAAGGAGGGGACCCGAGGAAACAGATGGGCCAGCAGGGCGTGGGAGCCTGTGACCTCTGACCCTACAGGCCTGCACAGCGGGGTGGGAACAGGCCAGGCCGCCAGCTCCCAAGGCAGGGCTCCAAGGGCCCTGGGTGGGGGAGGGTCGCACGGGCCCACAGGGGGCGCACTATCCCTCCTCCCTCCAGGGTTCTGGGCCAAAGCCCGGGCAGGGTCCGAGTGGGCAGCTCAGCCCTGGCACCGTGGGTACCCCTCTCTCTGGCAGGCACGAGGCGCCTGCTATCCCCCCCTTCAGCTGTGCCCACCTCCTGCCAGCCGGGGAGCCAGCTGGGAACCTTAGTGCCAGGGGGCCCCCGGAGTCCCTGCCCCCTCCTGGGCAGTGCCAGCCGGCCCCCACCCCCGCCCCCCAGGCCCAGTAATGGGTGGGTAATGAGTGCTGGGGGAGCGGGGGAGGGGCAAGGGATGCAGGTGCCACAGGCGCTGGCACGGGGGCCGCTAATCAGGTTTGCCAACGCCATCTGTCACCGCGCGAGCATCTGGGGCTCAAGGTGACCCTGTCACCCTCAGTTACAATTATGAGTTTGGCATCTGTATTAAAGCCCGCCAGCCGGCCAGGCAGGGGAGGGCTGGGGTGGGCACGGGGGTGCACGGCAAGCCCTCCCAGGGGTCCTGTTCCCAGGGGCTGCATAGTTGCCAAGGCGCGGGGCTTCTCCATGCTTGGGGGAGTTCATGTGTGTGTGTGTGTGTGTGTGTGTGCGTATGTGTGTATGCCTGTGCCAGCCTTCACAATCCTGTGAGTGTGTTTGGATGCAGGGCACAGAACCTGGGGCGTCCTGGGTTTTTCTGTCTCTGGGTATGGTGGCTGTGTGCCTGAGCTTGGTGGGATGGGTTGGGGTGCTGTGGGGAGCTCTGAGACTGCATGGGTGCACAGAAGAACATGGGTCCATGTGCTGGGAGAGGAGCATATGGCAGTTCTGGGTTTCTTTAGGTGATGCTGTGTTGCTAGGCTGTAAGTGTGTGTGTGTGATTGTCCATGTGTATCTGTAGTGTGTGACGTTGTACGTGTGATGGTCACAAGCTGTAGGTTTTGGGGTGTGGGTCTGTAAGATCCTGTCGAAGTGTGTGTGTGTAAATACACAGGGACAGCAGCAGGGACCAAACCCTGATGCCTAGGGTCTAACGTGGGAGGCTTGGGGAATATTGGGACCTGGCTCCGAGGAGGGTTTTGGGCTCTGGGTCCTTGGTTTTAGATTCTGGGAGATAGGATGTAAATGTCTGGATTCTAGATCCTGAGCATTTGGATCTGGATTTTAAATTCTGGGACCTGAGTTCTGGGATCTAGATTCTAGATCTTGGCATCTGGGCATCTAGATTCAGATTCTGGATTCTGAACTCTGATTCTGAATTCTGGGATCTGGATTTCAAGCTCTGAATTCTGGGTCTGGGTTCTCGCTTCTGGACCCAGGCTTTCAGTCTCTCCAGGTCTCTGTACTAAGCCTGGGCCGGTCCTCTCTGCCCTTCTATTCAGGCTGGGCCACTGGGCCGCCACTATCTCCCCACGTGATGGGTGCAGGGACCATACATGGCCACCAGGGGACACCCTTGGTCCAGGTTTGGGCCAAGTTGACCCAGACAGCCAGAAGTTAGGGGAACACCCTGGCCTGGCTTGACCCAGCTCTTTGAAGCAGAGTGAGGTGGGGTTTCACTTCCTTCCCTTCCCTTCCCAATCTCCACCAACGACAGTGTCTGTATGTGAAACATGGAGAACTGGACTGACCCTGCAGCCCCACAGACCCCCAATCTGGACTAGGGGACAGGAAGCCAGTCAGTGGGTCAGACCAGGGGGACAGCACATGTGTGTCGTAGAAGGTATCACTGAATGTAGGGAGAGGTGTGCAGATGAGAGCATTCTGTGTCTGGGTGGGGGAAGTATGACAGTGTTCCCTAGAGGGTGAGCCTATGTGGTGATGTGCGACCGTGTGTGACCAGGACCACATGTCTGGCAGGGTCCTCATGTGATGGCGCATCTGTGGGGCTCTGGTGTGGGGTAGGAGTCCCTGTCGTGGGTGTGCCTGACTGTAGCCATGACTGTAAGTGTCTCTGGTTGTCTGTGGATGGATCAGTAGGTGTCACTGTGTCCGTGTCATGTCCCCAAGGACCGGATTTCTGTGTCGATGATCTCTTATAGGGGGTGTGTGGAGATGTGTAGGACAGAGGTTTGTCTTCTGAGAGTGTCAACCAGGGGAAGGCGAGTCATGGGAAGGGGAGTGGACAGAAAAATAAGGGGAGTGGAGAAGGGACTGAGGTGGGTGGGAACAGAGACCCACGGAGCTTTCCCTCCATTTCCTTCCTGGGTCTCCCTGACCCTCCATCTGGCTGGGCTCCTCCCACCTCCTAGCATCTCCGACTTTGTCTCCGGGTCCAGGTCTTCTGCCTCCTCCCGTTGCCAGGCTCAGCGCCGGGCACAGTGGGCCTCTGTTTCCCCTCAGCCCTCATCTTCCGTCTTGCTCCCCTGCTCTGCCTCTCCTTGGCCCTCCTCCTCTGTCAGGCTTTTCCTCGTTTGGGCATTTTTCCCCATCTCACAGGCCTCTCCCATCTCTCTGTCTTTCCCCAGCTCGCTCTTCCCCTTGTCTTCTAAGTGTCTTTCTTTGCGCATCTACGGCTCTTTCTGTCTCTCCCTACCTCCTGTCTCTCCCTGTCTTCCCATCTCTCCCCATCTCTGTCTTTCTCCGCCCCGTCTCCCGGTCTCTGCTGGCCCGGGTGGGTCCGGGTGGGTCCTGGACAGCCTGGCCCGGGCGCCGCGACGAACAATGCCCCATTCACGCGGCCCGTCGGCGCCATGGCAACGCGCCCGCCCCGCCCTCCCCGCGCGGGCCGCGCGTGCCAAGAGGATGCCATGGTTACGTCAGGCGCGTGCCCGCCCCGCGCGCCGCCGCCCCGCGCGTTCTTGAAGGGGCCGGGCCAGCAGGGGGCGCCCGGCCGCAGCCTCTGCCTGGAGTCGGGAGGGACCGTCCCTTCACCCGGCCTTCAGGGACTCCGTGCCTCAGTTTCCCGTCATGTAAAACATCAGGGGTGGGCCGAGTGAGATTGTGGTGGGTGGGTGCGTGCGTGTGTGTGAGAGAGAGAGCAAGAGAAAGTGAGAGAGACACAGAGATGGTCCATGAGGTCACTTTTTGGGGATTGTTGTGTGTCTGTGAGTTTGAGAGTCAGTGGAACTGTATGTATGAACATGTGGGTCCATGTTTGCACACTTATGTGGGTGTTTCATGAGAAGTAGCTTGTAGTTTAGAGGTGATCGTATGCCTGTGTGTGTGTGTGTGTGTGTGTGTGTTTTCATGCCTGTGTGTGATACTGTCTATGTAGTTTGGGTGCAATGGTGTATCTGCGTTTTTGTGGTCGTGTGACTGAGTGTTTGTGTACCTCTGCTTTTGCATGTCGTGTGTGTGTGTGTGTGTGTGTGTGCGCACGTGTGTTTTGTGTCTGTGGTTTTGGTGTGATTATGTGTGGTTGTGAGTTCATGGGATTGTGTGTGCGCCTTTATTTGCATGTCTGAGGTGTGTGTGTGTGCATGGGTGGATGGCTGTGTTGTTGGGTGTGGTTTTGACTTTGTAGGACTGTTGTTTGTGTGTCTGGAGGTCCGTGTTCACAGATTGGTGTGTATTTATGTGTGGAACTGGGGGTGGGCTCTGAGGACTGCTCGGGCTTGGCTGAGCTCCCCCCTCACCTGAGGGCCTCCTGGCACAGAAGGGGGTGCCCAGCTGCCTGGGACCTCCGACTCCCCACAGGTTCAAGAGCGCCCCAGCTGATGAATATTCATGAGTTGGGGGGGCTGGCACCCACTGCCTACAGCTGCGAGTCCATTAGCCCCCTGGCTCTCCGTACATTGACTGCAGCGGGCGGGCCGCGGGGCGGGGGGGTGTCAGAGCGGGTCTGTCCCTGTCTCCATGACTTGGGAGGC